GTGGTCTACGGTATCAAAAGCCGCTGAGAGGTCCAAAAGAACAAGGACAGAGGAATATCCCCTGTCCCGGGCCCTCCAGAGATCATTAACCAACGCGACCAATGCCGTTTCCGTGCTGTGCCCCGGCCTGAAGCCCGACTGGTATGGGTCTAGATAGACTGATTCATCCAGGTGTCCGGGGAATTGCTGCGCAACCACATATTGTGTAAACAACCTTCCTTCCCAAATATGCTCTGCCTAAAAAAAAGTCTCCCTATTTCTTGTTTTACAGATTAAGGAAAAACATTCTGAAAATATACTTGGGGTATACAGTATTTCCAGGATGCAGCTCCGCAGTGTTTCTCAACCTTGACAATTTTAAGGCATGTGGACTTCAACTCCCAGAATTCCACAGCCAGCAATGCTGGCTGTGGAATTCTGGGAGTTGAAGTCCACATGCCTTAAAATTATCAAGGTTGAGAAAAACTGAGCTATAGGATCCTAAGAAATGAACCTTGCCAAGGGAACACAAGTCAGCTGTCTAACTTGAGAGCTGTAGAAGCATCTATGCCTAACAAAGAAATGATAGAGAAGCCAACAGTGCATGCATTTTTTCTGCTATTCTGAGTTTGGCCTTGCTCCCTTCCACCTTTTTTCCATTTCTTTCTTTAGAAGACGCAGACTTGCAGATGGCCTAGGGTTCAAACCAGAGATATCTCTTGCTCATGGGAGCAATGGGCAACTTGCCCAGTCTGTGTAAGCAGTGCAGGTGCTTGCACTTTCCCTGATCAATGAAAGCATGAGAAAACAACCCAGCCTCTTTCCGGCCAGCTGCCTGCATTCCCCTAATGAATGAAACCCTGCGCAAATAGCCCATTCTGTTTAGCACAGGTGCCCAGCATTCCTTCCACCCAGGGAATTAAGGGCCAATGACCAAGTTTACTCAATGCACATGCCTGCCTTGGTTTGGGTAATGGAAACAAAGACTCACAGACCAACTTATTCAGTTCAGATCACACCAATTCACTGTTGATAAAAAAGCAGTATATTTAAATATGCATTCAAAACCTCTACATGACTTTTATTTATGACTAAGATTCATTTTACTGAAGTCCAATTTTCTGAGGTCCGAAGATCCTGAATCTGTTAGTTGACTGCTGAATGGTGTGTTTCTGCATAACATCTTTTTCTGTTGATGAATCTAAAGGTCACAGGAGTGACAATATATCTTCTGTACAGAAGACAAGAAACTGTCCAGAAGAATGGACAAACTTGCTCTGAAAGCAACCTCTGTTGGAATGATGTCCAGTTTAAAAATCTATTTTAAAAATAATCTTAAGTTATTGAAGATGCACAACAAAGGTAACACCTGGACACTATCTCAGGAAGGTTTTTTTTTTTTAAAAAAAATATTTTTGTTTTTCCGTCATGCCTTTAAGTACAATGCATATCTGCTATTACCAGATAGATATCTATCATTGTATATTTGTCCACCAGCATCAAGCCATCCTGTCTTCATGTTACATCCAACCAATCCCATCTCCGCCTGGCTTGCAGAGTTGACTGCTGGTTTCCTTCTTGACAGCAGCCAGAGCACCAGTGCTCCATCCATCTTTCTTCCCATCTTATTTCAAAGGCCTCTCTCTCTGAAGGTAATTTACCAGAAAGAAATGGAGGGGAGATAACCACAGAAGGGATGAAGTGAGGCTAGAAAAACCTTAATCCTGATCTACTGACCTACCTGCCATTTCTTATATGCCACACGCTCTCCTCGCCGTAGCCACAGGCATGCAGTATAAACTGTGAAGATGCAAAACTGGTGAAGCATACACTACCATGTGGCAATGCAAACCAACCATTCCTATTTGCATCTGCACATTTTGTAATTTGCCACTTGGCCTCCCATTAATACCTCACAGCTTAGCAGGAAATATACCTCCAAGAGCTCTGACAGGTGACATTTACTAGAAGGAAGGTTAAGGATACAACAAAAGAATTCCGTCAAGCACCTTATTGTTGAAAGAGACAAAGTCACTCAAACTCTCTCACACACACAGGGTGGAAAGCAGCCTCTTTTACTAAAGGGGGAACAGGCAGCTGTTGACTGTTTTTGCAACTGCTGGTCTTATCAGGCTGAGAATTAACTCTCACATCACTTTTAGCAGCTACTTTATCCTCCCTAATAGCAAAGTTGGCCTTATTCCAATGAGATCTTCCTTTCGTTCTTTACAGTTCAGTAAAGTGAGGTTTGCCGATTCATTTGTGGCATCTTCCTGAAAGAGAACCAACCTTCATTGAGAGCAAAAACATGCCAAATGTTTCTGGCTGGAAAGGAGCAGTGGTCAACTGTACAAATGGGTTCTGAAAAGGAAGGCAGGAATTTCAGTGACTCATAACAACCAGAGGCAGCCTGGGCAAGCGCCCAGGGGAAAACCATTCAAGGCAGACTAATTTGCTATGATTTGGTTTATCAGCCTGCTCACTTATAATGTACATGACTGCTTTTGGTTTTGTGGTCCATCAAGGTGGTTTCTCTTGTGTTTGAGTCACCATTTCTTAACTTCCCCTCACCTATTGTTGTATGTGAACTTCTGAGTTTCCTCCAGAACAGGCGGGGCCAGGTAAAGAGCCCAATCCAGGCAAGTAGTAGTAGTAGCAGTAACAACAACAACAACAACAAAGTTGGAAGGGACCTTGGAGGTCATCTAGTCCAATCCCTGCTCAGGCAGGAAACCCTACACCATTTCGAACAAATGGCTGTCCAGTCTCTTCTTAACAACTTCCAGTGTCGAAGCATTCACTGCTTCTGGAGGCAGGTTGTTCCACTGGTTAATTGTTCCAACTGTCAGGAAGTTTCTCCTTAGTTCTAGGTTGCTTCTCTCCTTGCTTAGTTTCCATCCGTTGCTTCTTGTCCTGCCCTCTGATGCTTTGGAAAATAGCTTGACTCCCTCTTCTTTGTGGCAGCCCCTGAGATATTGGAACACTGCTATCAAATTTATGAAATTAGCCTTGCATGCGGCTAGGAATCCTTCTTTGCAGCTTCAGTTCCATTCTAACCATAACTTCTATTGGTTGCCTCTCTTCATGAGTAATAGAACAAAAGCATCTTTTTATTTTATTGTGGACATTCCAGACTTGCATTAAAAAGTCCCTTTAAACCATGTCTGTTATAATCAGAATGATGCTGGAGGGTGCGGGGTTATGTTGCTGGAATTTTCATTCTTATTTCCCATAAGCTATTGTTTCCAAATTTTCGGCTGCAATTCATAATAAAATAGAATATTGGTATCTCTGTCCCTGACCTTTAACAAAACATATGGAAATCTGGGTGTGCCCTGAAGCTACATAAAAACTGAGGCTGACAACAATCAAGAAAAGAATGCTATCTCCCTCTCNAAAATCTAAATCCATTTTATATAGCTGGAATAAGCTTTACTATTCATGAAGTCTTTGAAGGTATAGACCATACTTGGAAACCTCAAGTAATTGTGGGGCCACTTGAAAATTTGGAGATTTGGGCCAGAGGATTCCAAGTACTTGTCTATACCTTCAAAGACTTCATGAACAGTAAACTTTACTCTCTTGGGTCCAGCTATATAAAATGGATTTAGATTTTATGATCTTGGGAAAAGAAACTGAACACAAAGAATGTATGGGGGTCAGGTGATTTCCTATAAGGACCACTGTTTTTTCTTGTATTCTGTAATCAACGTTTCCCAGATCCTGTCAACATGTGCCAATCTCTTTGTATTAAATCTCAGTTTATTCCACTGGGAAAGATAAAAGCTAAGGAAAAATGTGCACATGGTTTTGTCTATGTATGAATCACAAAATTAAAATGTGTTTTACAGTTTTGCCCTCATTCTGTAATTCTATTTTAGATATAGTTTTATATATTTCTAATGAGGTTCCATAAATAAGTAATCATGAACTTGTTCTCAGTTTATCCCTTTCCCTGCAAAAATCTCCAAGGAATTCCCAGATTCCTTGCAAATATGGATTTTTTCCAGAGGCCAAACTGAAGTTAGAATTAAAAAATGGTGATTAATCAGTAGCACACTTTGCTATTAAAATAATTTAAGGAAGGAAAACTTATCATACTCAGGATATTATTCAGCACCAATGAGTAATTAATAGGAATGAATAAACCTTTGTACCAGGCCTCTTAGATTCAAATAGGCAAAAGTGATAGGTAGAATATAAAATTGTGTACATAGAGTAGCTATTCTCACACAAATAGAATTAATTAAACCACTGGAGGTTTTTAAGAAGAGACTGGACAGCCATTTGTCCGAAATGGTATAGGGTTTCCTGCCTGAGCAGGGGGTTGGACTAGATGACCTCCAAGGTCCCTTCCAACTTTACTACTACTATTATTATTATTATTATTATTATTATTATTATTATTATTATTATTATTATTAGTAGTAGTAGTAGTAGTATTATTATTATTATTATTAGTATTATTAGTATTATTAGTATTATTAGTATTATTAGTATTATTATTATTAAGCACAGCCTTTTGGCACCAAAATTGCATTAAAATTATATTGAAATATACAACATTTACGTAACATTAGCTACATGGATAAAATTAATGCTACTGGGAACTCAGAAACTCAGAGGCATTCATTTTTTCTTAATATAAGAAAAGGTAGCATTGGTGCTTACCATATTGCTGCCAACACCTGGGCCGTTGGCAAACTGACATTCTTCTGCATGGCCGTTACAGAAGCAACTGCCACGGACAATTAGGTCATAGATGGCATAATGGGCAAATCTGTGTGGTTTCTCCAGTACTCCTGAGCCTTGGCAAGGACACTCTTGCCTCTTTAATAAAAGGAGCCGCAAATTAGTGAGCTTCAAGACAGCTTGTGCTTCAGGACTGTATGGATCTTCAATCTTGTTAGTAGGCGTTAAAGCACGGAAGATCACCTGAAAAGGGAAAGAGAATGGGGTTAAAATATATGATCAACAGCTTACATCTTATAGAAATCAACCAAGCATAGTTCACCTCCATGGGTTGAGTAAAGTCAGCAAATGATTCACTGTGCCAAACTAAGAAAAATGGCTTACTTCAGTAGACGTTTAAAGTGCCTAACTTGTGCTTCACATATCCACCACAAACCAAGATGATGAAAGAATGATGTAACATATTTATGTCATGAAATCACATCACAAAGCTACCCTTTCATACTTGTATCATGATGTTAGATGCAGGCATATAATTTGCAGGGCTTCCATCCATCAACCTGCCCACACACAGGTACAACTATGGATTATGAAAACACAGCCAGTGTTTTTATAGCAGTTCAGGTGATATGGTTTCAGAGGATATTCCAGCAAATACACCAGGGCTTTATCCCAGTATCCAAGATAATTGAACAAGAGTCTCCAGACTGAACACCACTCACTGAAGAAATTAGTTGCAGTGTGACAAATTTCATGAAATACAATTTGGGATTCCAGCAAAAGTACTGTGGGCTCTCTCACTCGCTCTGTATTTTGTGTAGCAACCATTTCTGCTTGAGCAGTGAGGTTGAAATATTTCTGTAGACACTGCAACTTACTCAAGCTGTTCTATGGACTTATATATTGTGTAAACAACCTTCCTTCCCAAATATGCTCTGCCTAAAAAAAAGTCTCCCTATTTCTTGTTTTACAGATTAAGGAAAAAACATTCTGAAAATATACTTGGGGTATACAGTATTTCCAGGATGCAGCTATAGGATCCTAAGAAATGAACCTTGCCAAGGGAACACAAGTCAGCTGTCTAACTTGAGAGCTGCAGAAGCATCTATGCCTAACAAAGAAATGATAGAGAAGCCAACAGTGCATGCATTTTTTCTGCTACTCTGAGTTTGGCCTTGCTCCCTTCCACCTTTTTTCCATTTCTTTCTTTAGAAGACGCAGACTTGCAGATGGCCTAGGGTTCAAACCAGAGATATCTCTTGCTCATGGGAGCAATGGGCAACTTGCCCAGTCTGTGTAAGCAGTGCAGGTGCTTGCACTTTCCCTGATCAATGAAAGCATGAGAAAACAACCCAGCCTCTTTCCGGCCAGCTGCCTGCATTCCCCTAATGAATGAAACCCTGCGCAAATAGCCCATTCTGTTTAGCACAGGTGCCCAGCATTCCTTCCACCCAGAGAATTAAGGGCCAATGACCAAGTTTACTCAATGCACATGCCTGCCTTGGTTTGGGTAATGGAAACAAAGACTCACAGACCAACTTATTCAGTTCAGATCACACCAATTCACTGTTGATAAAAAAGCAGTATATTTAAATATGCATTCAAAATCTCTACATGACTTTTATTTATGACTAAGATTCATTTTACTGAAATCCAATTTTCTGAGGTTCGAAGATCCTGAATCTGTTAGTTGACTGCTGAATGGTGTGTTTCTGCATAACATCTTTTTCTGTTGATGAATCTAAAGGTCACAGGAGTGGCAATATATCTTCTGTACAGAAGACAAGAAACTGTACAGAAGAATGGACAAACTTGCTCTGAAAGCAACCTCTGTTGGAATGATGTCCAGTTTAAAAATCTATTTTAAAAATAATCTTAAGTTATTGAAGATGCACAACAAAGGTAACACCTGGACACTATCTCAGGAAGGGATTTTTTTTAAAAAAAATATTTTTGTTTTCCGTCATGCCTTTAAGTACAATGCATATCTGCTATTAGCAGATAGATATCTATCATTGTGTATTTGTCCACCAGCAACAAGCCATCCTGTCTTCATGTTACATCCAACCAATCCCATCTCCGCCTGGCTTGCATAGTTGACTGCTGGTTTCCTTCTTGACAGCAGCCAGAGCACCAGTGCTCCATCCATCTTTCTTCCCATCTTATTTCAAAGGCCTCTCTCTCTGAAGGTAATTTACCAGAAAGAAATGGAGGGGAGATAACCACAGAAGGGATGAAGTGAGGCTAGAAAAACCTTAATCCTGATCTACTGACCTACCTGCCATTTCTTATATGCCACACGCTCTCCTCGCCGAAGCCACAGGCATGCAGTATAAACTGTGAAGATGCAAAACTGGTGAAGCATACACTACCATGTGGCAATGCAAACCAACCATTCCTATTTGCATCTGCACATTTTGTAATTTGCCACTTGGCCTCCCATTAATACCTCACAGCTTAGCAGGAAATATACCTCCAAGAGCTCTGACAGGTGACATTTACTAGAAGGAAGGCTAAGGATACAACAAAAGAATTCCGTCAAGCACCTTATTGTTGAAAGAGACAAAGTCACTCAAACTCTCTCACACACACAGGGTGGAAAGCAGCCTCTTTTACTAAAGGGGGAACAGGCAGCTGTTGACTGTTTTTGCAACTGCTGGTCTTATCAGGCTGAGAATTAACTCTCACATCACTTTTAGCAGCTACTTTATCCTCCCTAATAGCAAAGTTGGCCTTATTCCAATGAGATCTTCCTTTCGTTCTTTACAGTTCAGTAAAGTGGGATTTGCCGATTCATTTGTGGCATCTTCCTGAAAGAGAACCAACCTTCATTGAGAGCAAAAACATGCCAAATGTTTCTGGCTGGAAAGGAGCAGTGGTCAACTGTACAAATGGGTTCTGAAAGGGAAGGCAGGAATTTCAGTGACTCATAACAACCAGAGGCAGCCTGGGCAAACGCCCAGGGGAAAATCATTCAAGGCAGACTAATTTGCTATGATTTGGTTTCTCAGCCTGCTCACTTATAATGTACATGACTGCTTTTGGTTTTGTGGTCCATCAAGGTGGTTTCTCTTGTGTTTGAGTCACCACTTCTTAACTTCCCCTCACCTATTGTTGTATGTGAACTTCTGAGTTTCCTCCAGAACAGGCGGGGCCAGGTAAAGAGCCCAATCCAGGCAAGTAGTAGTAGTAGCAGTAACAACAACAACAATAAAGTTGGAAGGGACCTTGGAGGTCATCTAGTCCAATCCCTGCTCAGGCAGGAAACCCTATACCATTTCGAACAAATGGCTGTCCAGTCTCTTCTTAACAACTTCCAGTGTTGGAGCATTCACTGCTTCTGGAGGCAGGTTGTTCCACTGGTTAATTGTTCCAACTGTCAGGAAGTTTCTCCTTAGTTCTAGGTTGCTTCTCTCCTTGCTTAGTTTCCATCCGTTGCTTCTTGTCCTGCTCTCTGATGCTTTGGAAAATAGCTTGACTCCCTCTTCTTTGTGGCAGCCCCTGAGATATTGGAACACTGCTATCAAATTTAAGAAATTAGCCTTGCATGCGGCTAGGAATCCTTCTTTGCAGCTTCAGTTCCATTCTAACCATAACTTCTATTGGTTGCCTCTCTTCATGAGTAATAGAACAAAAGCATCTTTTTATTTTATTGTGGACATTCCAGACTTGCATAAAAAAGTCCCTTTAAACCATGTCTGTTATAATCAGAATGATGCTGGAGGGTGCAGGGTTATGTTGCTGGAATTTTCATTCTTATTTCCCATAAGCTATTGTTTCCAAATTTTCGGCTGCAATTCATAATAAAATAGAATATTGGTATCTCTGTCCCTGACCTTTAACAAAACATATGGAAATCTGGGTGTGCCCTGAAGCTACATAAAAACTGAGGCTGACAACAATCAAGAAAAGAATGCTATCTCCCTCTCTCCCAATTTATTTCCAGCAACTGACATTTTTTTTCATCTTGTTCTTATTTTATCTTTCTCAGAGAGGACATCTTTATCCTAGAGGCAATGTCTCTGATTTTTTATTTCCTCCCATCCATGGCTCCACGTTGTGATTCTTTAACCTCAATGTCAAGAATTCTATTCTTACAATCCAATATCTCAATATGAAGTCTGAGATATCTTACGCATCACTCCCTATAGGTCATATGCAGCAAGAGAACAGAAGCTTTCCTAAGACATTACTCCAGCATAAGATTAACGGAGGGGAAATATATCCTATATGAACTGAAGTCTTTCTTATATCTTCTCCCAATTTTTCCCTCAGAATGTCCTTGGTGACTAATGGAAATCAAAATTCCTTAAAACGGAATCATTTCCCCCCCCCCCTTCCCTAGGGTTTCCCCACTGTTTTCACTCGGCATGTAAAAGATATGTTCTAATTATTAGATCTACCTATCCCAGTTGCACCAAATAGTAAATGGACTATGTGTCCATTTATATACATGCATGAACATTGGTTTTTTTTTCTTTATACCAGAAAGCCCACTCCATATGTCTTATCATTACACCATCTGAATGTACGCAAGTCAAAGACAGAATCTGAAAACCTCATCTTTTTCTCCAGCTGTTCCCTGAGTGGGACCAGTGTCCCTAAAAGGTAGACCAGAAATGGACATGATTATGGCATTATCAATAGTTCAACACATAAATGAGTGTATTGTTAGATTTTAGATATTTTTAAATCATGTTTTTATTATTTTTTATAAATAACTCAAAGGGGTGAACATACATAATGTTTCCTCCTCCTCCTCTGATTTTCCCCACAACTATAACCCTGTGAACAGTGGTGGGATTCAAATATGTGAATAACCGGTTCTCTGTGTGGATGCCACTTCCCAAAGTCCATTCTGGGCCTGGGCAACAAAAAATTCTGCCGAACTGGTGCAAACTGACTGAATCCCACCACTGCCCATGAGGTAGGTTGGGCTGAGAGAGAGTGACTTGCACCACAGTCACCCAGCCAGCTTTTCATGCCTAAGGCAAGACTAGACTTCACGGTCTCCCCTTTTCTAGGCCAGCATCTTTGCCACACCAAACTGGCTCTCTTTTTCTGGAAAAAACAGACACATGCTCATGAGATGGTGAAAGCCAACTTAAACTCCTTTTTTTTTTTTTAAATAAAATACATGTTTGAGCTAGCAAGTTGTGATGGTCTGCTTATATTATTAATTCACCAGACCATAAAGTACTATGTTTCAGTAACAGTTTCTCAAAACAATAACACATTGAATA